GATCAAATGCCCTCCTACCCCTGCAGGCAGCACCCTCACTATGGAAAAGAGACCTACACAGAGAGATCTTTCTGCATATTCCAGCACCCACCCATCAGACACTGAGAACATAGGGATGCTGGACTAGCAGAGTGTAGCATGCAACAGTTTTAGAAGGTTTTAAGTGGAATACACTGAATTTCATGGGAGATTTCATCAGTCATGGAGCATTCACTGTTCTGTGTGAGGTATAAAATGGAAATAATGAAGATCAAAATTCTAATATACTGACCTATACTTCCATCTTAAGAACTAATATGAATAACCAGGAGAAGAACAAGTGCACATTTAAAAATGCTCCAAATTTTGCACAGCATCTGAAAGAATTCCAGTCATTCTGTAAAACAACACGAGGGTGAAGAGGCATTTGCTTCCTGAAACACCTAACCCAAAGAGAGGAAAAACTTTTTACAGGCTTTAACCCAAGAAAACATTAGAAATCCCAGCAGCTGAGCTGCTGGACTCTTCCATCAGATTCTGGAAGTCAGCTTGGAGTTAACAGTACTGCTGTATGCTTACAACAACAGAAGTCTCCTCCTGCTGATGTTTAATAGTTAAATAGGGTTTGTTTTTAATAGGAAACTATTAAATATAGGAATAGGAAACTATTTTTTAATAGGAAACTTATTTACTATGAGGATGAGTGAGCATTGTCAAAGGTTGTCCAGAGAGGCTCTAGAATCTCCATCCTTGGAGACAGTTGGAAGCTGTGTGGACACAGTCCTGGGCAGCTTCTTCTAGATGACCCTGCTTGACCTTTGTTTTCAGAGGTCCCTTCAAGCCTCAACCCTCCTGTGAGTCTGTGCCCCTCAGACCATGGCCACTGGCATAGAGACCACAACTTCAGAGCATTCAGGCAGCCTGAATGCTCACCCAGCAATGTCATCTGGCTTCATTTTTTTTCTCTTCCTTTCCCTTTCTTTCTCAGTCAAGGAAAAAGTGGGAATATTTTTAATTTGAGGAAAGTATTCTTTTGACATTTCTGCTTAAGTGCAGCACAGCTGGCAGGTCCTGCTCTGCTCCATAGGTACTATTTCATGGAAACTGTCAAAAGACCTGCACTTTGTATTATAATTTCCATAAACCCATGAGTTTTAAATGCCTCCTGCATATTTTTGGGCCTACTCCATGTCTCTTGCAGCTAAAGCTGTGGAACCTAGCTGCCTGCCCAGCAAATGCCAAAGGGCTAAAGAGTTGAAATATACACGTAGAAACGTCCTGAGGCTTATCACAACACATGCTAGCTGAAGCTAAGATGATGGAATGTAGACAGAGATGCCAAAAAAGGGAAAGCCAACATCCAGACCAGCATGTCAAACGACCTCCTGCCTTCAGACTCAGAAGCAAAGCAGTGGCCTGGCTTCTCCTGGTCAGCCATTGGTCATGTTGGTATTCTTCAGTTCAAGGAAATGCCTGCAGGATATTCCTCACTACATAAACAGTTATTTTAAAATTAAAACCAGCACTATTAAGAAGTATATGGTCTCCTTAACTATATTTTTTTCTGACTGCTGCTATGATGACCTAGTACCACCTATTTCTATGGCCTGGCTGTTGAAAGAGTCTCCACACAGCTCCAACATCAACAGCTTTCCCTGATCCTGGAGCTGACAGTCCTGAGGACACAGCTGAGTCCACTCACCCTGATCTTGTCGTCTGTTTCCATAGTGGCTTGAAGTCTGCCATTCACACTGAAGACACAGAAGAGGCCGTTTTCATAATATATGACACAGTGCCCTTCTCTGGAGGCTTGGATGAGTTTTGGTCTCAGGCAGTTCTCGGGACCCGTTAACGTTTCTGGACCTTCCAAAGTCCTCAGGAGATCTCCATTCATAGAATGTATGAGACATGGTCCTTCTAACCAGACACAATAAAACCTCTGGTTACTCACTCACATTTAAAGACATCTTATGTCAGAATAATAACTAATGACTTAGGTAATCACTATTAGAATACATAATCATTATTTTTACCATGTTTAAGTGGATAGCCAGAGAGCAGAGTGAACAGCTTGTCCCTTAAAAGCTTTGTATTGAGGATTTTAGAACACCTATCAAAGCTACTTAGAGACCTAATGGATTTTCTTTTGTGGATTTTCTTTTAAAACTGGTAGTATTTGATTTTGAGAGCACAAAAATAAAGGTACTGAATCCTAAAATGGGATTTTCAAAATACAAAGACACAGAGAGGTCAGTGTAATGAATTTATATATGTAGGTACTCTAGAAGTGTTTATTCTTGTTTCAATTTAACCCATACATGATCCAATAAGTATCTCCTTTCTAATATACTTGGAGCAATACCTGCTTTGCATGCAATCCTCAAGTGCTCACAGAAAGGCATGAAACAGAAGTGCACAAATGTGCATATGGTGAGTACACCCCATGTGGAAAGATTCCTCAGAGGATGTACTTTGGAAAGACTAAAGCAAAAAGATTCCAATTCTAAGAAATCTTTAGTTGAAAAATAAATGGGGAGCAGTAGAAAGGAGAATTAGAAACAACACCCAGGGAATCAACATGATTCTTTATAATTCATATATATATGTATCATATAAATTTAATTTATAACTCTATGCTGTAAGCAATTACACACTGGGTAAACAAAAAGAAAGAGTAATCAGGCTACAATAGGGAAATTGTGGTTGCTTCTCCTTCTAAACACCTGAATAATCCTCAGCTTTAACATGTTTAAGAGGAGGTTTCAAATTCCATAGCAACAAACAAAGGCTTAGAAATGAAACCACCAAAAAGTTACTCAGTTCTGCCAGGTGAGGCCATACTCCTTTCTGCATTAGGATTACAGCCTCCTGGACAGAACCCAAGGACAGCAGCTGCCTTACCTTTGGAACCACTTATTACCAGGCCAAGCTCAGCACAAATGGTGGCACAGGTGATCTCATAGTCATGTCCTGTCAAAACAGCTCGAGGGGTTGCAAAATCACCTGCAGTGAAAAGACAATAACAGCAACCCTTGGTTACAATCTGTCTGTGGAATCACTGCTTTCCATCACCCAGGGCTCCTTGCTCTGGGAGTTCATGTTCCTTACAGATCAGTTCTGGGCTGCTGCTTGCACGTGGCTGTTCTGTGCTCAGCTCCAGACAGTGTGCACCAGGAGCTCAGCCTGCACACCCCCACACACCTTGACATGACAGCAAGGTGTGCAGGAAAACCAGGGAGAAGCTGGAGCACACAGGTTTGCATCTTCCCATCCCTGTGTCTCTGCCTCTATTATAGGGTTTTTTGTGGAAGAAGTCATGACTACCTTTTCCTAAAACAGGCATGAGTAAAGGCAACTAAATCATGACAGGTACTGAGAGGAGACCAACTACAGTGCCTGGAGATGAAACAAGAAGCCCACTGACTGATTTTAGTCACCTAGTGACAGTGTTAGGACCTCAGCCTGCTGCCTGATTCTTTGTAAGATGGGGAGCTGGGACCATCATCAGTTTGAATTTCAGATGACTTTGCAAAATCAAACCACCATTAATTACCACTGCTCCTATTAGGCACCTCCCTGCAACAAGAACAAATAAAACTCCATTTTTTTTTACATTCTTTTTGTAACCAAACATATATGAATGCCATTAAGAAAAAGAAGCTGTAAAACTCACACATATAAAGGAAAAAAAGTCTTCCCCAGGTCAAGACACAGAATGGGTAAGTAAATACTATAAAGCTCTTCAAATAAATAGCTTTATAACTCCACTGATCACCCTCTTCGAGGGTGCTGGCATTTCATGGACATCACAATGTTAGTTCTGTATTACCACGTAATTAGTTCATTCACAGCATTTTATGAAGCATTTAAACTCTAAGGGATGTACCTTGGGCAATGTTATCACGTAGTTTCAAATAGGATTAGACAAGTTTTTAAGCAGCAGGGAATAATTTCACTTCTCAATAAATTATATGAGAGATACCAGCAAGGCAGTAAAACAGTGGTAAAGTCAAAACCTTTTTTACTTCAAAAACAGGAGATAGTTTTATGAGAAAAAAAACCCAAACAAAACCAAAACAACAAAATCTGAGGTTTTTTTTTCCTGTGGAAAAGAAGTGTAGATTTGGGCTTGCATAAATAAAAGCTTGGCTTACTCTCCACACCTTCTGTTTTCAGTCAGACCATTTGCAATGCCTCCCAGGCTGTCTGTGGAGCTGCCACATTCAAATGGGGTTTTAGAAAATGTCATAATCTACAACAAGGTATCAAATCGCAGATTTTGACCTCTCAAAATTTTGATTTATTCTGCTGTTACGGCTAAAATCTATAATTAAAAGCCATAATACAAAATATTGAAAAGTAAACAAAGGAAAAACTCCCAATAAATTAGAAGTGAATGTCCTCTAGGTACTCAGGTGGCTGATCCTGTGAGCACTCACAAAGCTTTTAGAGAGTTTGCTCTGTTGCACTTTGCTCACCTAAACTTGGGGCAGGCACCTGAGAAGAGTCATAAATGAAGGTTGGGTAAATAAACCACAAATCTGCTGCTTTAGGGAAAAATGTAAGAGCAGCCATAAGTCCCACTATCCAGTAACAATTTAATTGTAATTTCTTTCTCCCTGTTGTCCCCAAGCCACAGAAGAGGTGGCAGCTTTGTGCATTCAGCGTTCTTGTTAGTTTGTTTTCTTTTAAATGAGCTGCCTATGTTAGCAAAAAATCTAGATTTGTGTTTTTATTGCTTTATTTTGCTTTCTTCTGCTTTCAAAGATTGCATTGAACACATACTTGCACAGATCAGTAAGCAACTAATCTAATTATACACTACACATGCTAATGAAACTTGAAATCAAAGAAGTTTTAAATGTTAGAGTTAGGAGTTATAAGAAGCAAAATCTGAATGAATTATGAGGAGGTTCAAAGAAACAAAATCCTTATAGTAAAGGTATTTCTTACAGCAATGTTACTGCAAGGCTTTACCTGTGGTAAGCTGCCAGAAACAAGACACATAAAATGTAGGAGATAGGATTCTTAAAATAAGTAAAAACTGAGCATAGAAATTTGTCACAATCCACAGAAAAGTTATCTAAGTAATGTTCACAATCTTTTTATAATGTGGCCTTGACTTCAAACATGACAGAGTGTTAGTCCAGGGGTTGCAGGATCAGGGTTTCATAAATTCTATCAACTATTCACTAAATTACATCTGCCCTAAAGAAACACTTTAATGCACAAAAAGAATTTAAGAAATCTGAATAGTATCTCTAAAGAAATTCAGACTTGAATAAATACTGTAAAAGAGGAGCCCTGTGAGAAGTCAGGCTGACTCCTTTGATAAGAATGTCAAGTATTTAGGGGCTTCCAAGCCTCTGATTTTCCAAATAATGGGGTCAACTTAAAAGCTGGTCATAGAGCAGAACAGATTTCTTTAAAAGCTTTTAAACTGTTGCTGCTTCAGCAGATTGTCATGGTTTTCAATAATGCCAAGAGAAAATTTTATTTTGTTGCTGGTTTAAGGGGCACCACTTCAAACTTCTCTAAATTGTTTTAGGGGAAGGGGCTCGCAGACCTTTTGAAAAGCTGGGGAAGTGACTTCAAAGGAAGGAAAGTCTTTGTCCACTAAGCAGGTTTACGACCACTGATGCAAACCCTAACTAAGGACTGAAAAGAATACTTGGTGCATCTTTATGGAGATCCTTAAGGAAGATGAACAAGTCAAACGAAATTAAAGATAGTTAAATCCTTGCCCTAATAACCAAGACACAACAGCTCCACAATGTGCTTTTCTCAGCATAGTCTATAATAATATCCTCAGTTTACACCACTGCTGGATGGTTGAATGCTGTAAGAATCTTAATGCCACATTCACGTTGCAGCAAATGTCATCCATGATTTATTTAAGTCACAAAAGGTACACATAAAGTTATTTTCCAGTAATGGACATAATATTTTACCTTTGCAGGAACCATTCGAATTACTCCAAATGAACACTCCTGCATTCCAATAAATAATTTCTGCAAAGCTGCTTCCCCCCAGAAAACAGCATAAAATATCACTCCTCCTTAAGTGACTAAAGTAGATTTTAAATCATCAAATTCAAGCTTCAGGAGATAAAAGAAGAGCACACGATCTCATGTCAGCTTGTGGCAATATTTCAGTGAAAAAATGTTAAACCACGTTTAAAAAGGAACAGTGGGCTCAGAGCAAAGTCAGAACTTTCCTCCAGTTTAAAGACATCCCAGATCTGCCTCACTGGGTCACAAGAAATTGTCTGGTTTTGCTGGTTCTTCCTCTGCTATTCTTCCAGCTTCTGTGATATTCCAAACCAAAGCAGGACCGTGTCATCTTAAACCCATCAGTAAATTCCCCAAACGACCCCTTTCTTTCTTTGCAGCCCTGAGCTCTAAGAGCTGAGCTGAAGATATGAACTCATTGAAAGAAAAGTCTCTCCCTAAAAGGAAATCCAACTAGAAGTTGAATGGAGAACTTATCTCACAATGAAATATGACATGCTCTTTCTGCTGTTTCTGGGTGAGATAACATTATGCAATACATAGAGATATAAAATATCTGAGTATGCTCCTTTTTATGTTTTATGCTGAGAAGAGAATTAATTATGATAAGTCGCAGACAGCCAAACAGTCATTTCTAAATTATTATTCTACAAGAGGCTGTAGGGCACTTTTAAATGGAAAATTAATTATGTGATTTTATGTCAATATAAAATTTGAATTAGATGAAGCAACAGTTAATCTAGTTAAACCTACTTCTGGAGCAAATAAGTGCATGAGGACTTTTCTCAGAAGGATACATCAACCAAACCAAATCCCATATGCTAGAAAAGTCTTCTAAAGGTCATTTTACAAATTTCACAATTTTGAAGCTGCTTCGTATGATAAAAACTGAGGAAAACAATGAAAGGCTGGGAACCAGCTTGAGAAGCACAAATGTACTTGCAGAATATATGACATTTGGAGAAAAAGGCTTTCAGCAAAATGTAAGTCAGTCAAGAAAACTAATTAGCTGCTAGGCTGCTGTGTTGATTATACAGCAGTTTTCAGGGTGTAATTACATAAAAGTGATGACTGTCAAATATTATACAAACTCTGTGTATTGAAGTTATTTATAGATCACATACAGTGAACATTTAAATAACAGCCAGCTGATTAAAAACCCCTTTCAGTGATGCACAGACCAGCTCTTTGATGAGTTTGAGGTCTCACAAAAGCAATACCACACAATATTGCTGAAGGACTCCTGGAACCTCACTCTGATTAATCTCTCCTTTGTAAATATGCATTTTTCTCTAACGATGTAATCTTTTCATACTAAAGAAGAACTTCATTGTTGTTTTCTTCTCATGACACCCCATCAGTATTTCCTCTCATTCCTTCAAACTACCTCCTCCCATCTGTACAGACTTTGTTTTGTTACAACAGAAAGTACAACCTTATGCCTAGATGTAAGTTTTGGGTTTGCAAAAAAACACCTTCCAAACACATCTTCCAGAAAAGGAACAGGAAATTTGAGTAATATATCAACATATCCTGAAGCAAAATCTAAAACCATGGCAGGCAGAAGTTGCTATAGTGTTCTTACATTTGTTCAGAAAAGAAAAAAGAGATTAGATTTACCTTGTAGAATCCATTTCAGCATAGACAACCTGGGAAAGACTTTACTCCTCCCCACACTGTGCAACAGGTGACTAACACTGACTCACTACTAACACAAGAGTTTTCATGCACGTTGTGTCAGAACAGGTTCACTATGTTCCCAAAATAAACACAGGAAAGATTTAACAGGCCTCCATGAATTGGATATTACAATTCAGACTTCAAAAGTTAATAATGCTGAGTCTCTTCATTCCTACACCATGTGCCAGATGAAGCTTTCTGGAATGGGTTCACCCTGACTGGGGAATTCATCTGCTGGAAGTCCTGGAAGTCATTCAGGAGGACTCCTCCCATCAAACACAGACCTTTCTGAAGCCCCTGGAAAGTATCTGC